GTTTCTTTTTGTTTTTATGTTTGTCTCGTATTAGGAACTTGTACCTCTTATGTGTAGGAGTAGTTCTTTAGTGTTTTCCAATAGTCATCTAAATCTCAGAGAGGTAGAAGTAGCTCCCGCTCAAATATATCCCGTGAGAGATGACAGCATCTAACCCACTGCTGCAGTGCTCCATCCAGTGCATGTCCCGGCGGCGATTTCTTCATGTGGATCTCCTCTCGCATTCCATCTTGCCAGTGGCCTCCCCACCAGGCTGGTCCCCTTTCCCAGCTGGTCATCGCAGATTCGCAGCAGTTTCTTTCCGCCTTCTAATCCAGTTTTTGGTGGTAATGTCGCACCCAGGATCGGCCAATGTAACGTGGCACCTTTGGTGCACTCCGTGGTACTGCCGTGCCTCCTTCCATTTCATGTGCCGGTGTCTGCCCGTGGTGGGTTTGTACTTTGTGGCTTCGGGGGCCCTTGCGTCTGCTCATCATCTCCTTCCCGATTTGGACAGCTTCGGCTCCAGATGATCAGATCCGCCCTTTGTGGAGTTGCACATGCTGATGGGTCCCCATCTCCCAAGCTCTTGCCAACCTCTTTCCTTTTAACCATCTTTCCTCCCATGGCGATAGGATCAGCCACTTCAAATTTCGGCAGCGCAACCCAGAATCGACGAGCCGAGACGTGATGGCGTGCTGGACTCGAACCCGAGGCTCCAAAATCAACACATGGACGACCTTGCAAACATTGACTCGTCCGTCGGAGCCCTCACTTCTAAGCCGGTTGAATAAGTGACGTCGCTGCCGCCTAGCGTCTCGTCAAATCAACCAAAGGTCATGTTACCGTATCAATGTTGTCTGAAGGAAGCTCGGCTGATCGTCAGACGAGCGGGAATCAAGATGCAACTCGCCGACGCCAGAACTCTGATCGGAGAACCAGCAACCTTTCCCCTCAAGTCAACAGGTTGCTCCAGTCTCTGGTCTCCAAGAAGAAATGGATCGACGAATCGGCAAAACGTGCTCGGCGAGGAGCACGAAATCAGCGTCATCCACCAGGTACACCAGACCCTCCACCCTCGCTCGGCTTTCTCGTGCTCGTCTGGCTATGATGGCCCAGTCGGGATTCGGCTTGCGTGTTGTCGGCCGACGACGTCGCCGATGCCGTGGGAGAAGGCGATTTGGACTCGGAAGACCGTTGCTCCTTTTCCCTACCTGCCCCAGACCTAGACGCCACATCTCCCATCTCATCGTCTTGGTCGGCATCCTGTTCGTCGGTCGCTTCGAGCCCCTTCTTTTTCTTCCCACCACATGCTTTGACAAGACTATGCCTCTGTTTGTCCCGTCATTCAGTCGGTGTTAGTTATCCACGACGTTCATTCCTTGCCACAGTAAAACCTTTGGATTGAAAACATACCTTCAACGCATCCTTTCTCGAGAAGCACTTTTGGCACTGTGGACAGGGAAACGGCTTGGCGGCCAGATGGATGCGCTTGTGGCGCTTCAGATCGTGGTTCCGGCTGAAGCACTGAGGACACATGTCGCACTTGAAAGGCCGGTCCTGTTGTGACGACTCCCGCACGACCGAATACGGCCCCATTCCCGCCTGGAATTCGAGGTAGTGGCCAGTCGATCGTCCGGCCGTTCCGGACTTGAAGCCTCCCGTGTTGGACGGCATCCTGTAGAAGGAGGGCTGTGATTCGGATCCTCCTGGAGTTGACGTGATCAGGTTGGCTCCGACCGGCCGTGCAAGACGGCCCGGGGACGGGATCAATGGTCGCGGTGGGCCTGCTCCGGAATAGCTCGAAGGGTGTGATGGTGGCGGCGGTGATGGCGGAATCAGACTTGATATTGGCGGCAGCTTCTCCCCAAATCCAGATGATGATGATGGCGAAGTTGGCAACATGGGAAGACCTGCCGAGAGCTGGTGCTGTTGTGGATGCTTAGGAGCCGGCGGTTTGGGCGCCAGAGGTTGCTGAAGTCGTCCCGGACTCGCATGGAAGCGAGGGGCCGATGGATGCTGGTATGAATGCGGCGTGCTAGCACCTTGGCGCGGTGATCCGTACGACGACATTGCGGCTACCGAATATCCAGGACTGCTGAGAGCCGAGGTGGATGTTGAATGGGAGGAAGATTCGCCCGCCGACCGCACACCGCCAGTCGCCGGCGTGAGCCCGTCAGCCGCAAATGCACCCGCGCGGGGGATCTCGGGCGGCGGTGGCAGACTGAATGGGGGTAATGCCGCACGCGCTGGTCTCCGAGAACCGAGAGAGTCGGACGAATGGGAGGAATTAAATCTCATGACTCTGGTCCTCTCACTGTCTGTCTGGCTCACGAGTTCGTGCGAGAAGTGAGTTGTGGTTCAAAAAGTCGTGGTCAGCAATATTGATGATGTAACGGGGGTCAGGAGGGGGGGACAGAGGCACAGCAACCATTGGCAGCACAGTCAGAGGAGAATCGGCCGAGGATGCGCGCACTGCGAGCCGTTCGCTTGGGAAGTCCATTTTCAGCTCAGCGACTGGTTGTCGTTGGCACCATGGCAAAAGAGGTTGTGGCGTGGCAGTGCTGGTGGCCTTATTAGGCATCGCGCCCGTACTTTATTCCTTGGCATTTGTTGGCATGACAGACAGGCAAAGATACCCTGTCAGGCCTGTTACCGACCCAGAGCTAAGTCTCAGCCGTTCTGCAACAGATCTCCATCAATAGTGAATTGTGACGGCAGAGTCCGTGCAGTGCAGGAAAAAAGAAAAAGAAAAAGAAACGAGAATTAGCGAAAGCGGCGCACTTGGCTTACATGAGCCGTCCGTCCTCCCATCCAGCCCAGAGGTTCCATGTCTTTTCAGAATCAGCAAATATCGGCAGGCAGACTGTACTGTACGGATGCCGTCCCTTCTATCGTCAAAGAAAGGATCATAATGTCTCAACCCGGGCCCAGGAGTTGCTACAGGCCCGTCTTACTTTCCTTCACATACAAGTCAAGTTGTCAACAACAAATAGCGATGCCGTTTGATGAGGCGACTACCCTCCAATGTCCATACACACGAACCATGCACGCAGCTGCAGGCGGACTACGGATACTATTTACGGACCCCGAAAACCACACACTCTCTCTCTCCTTCCCAGTTTTGGTCCAATTCCAAGGAAGCTATGCCATTCCGCCTGCAGATAAAAGGGCCTTTATCTCTCCCAATTGGACCATAATTTCCCTCTCGCTCTTGCCCCCCCTCCTTTGTTGTCCTCTCAATACATACACGATGAAACATCAGGTTGAACTCTGCATTGGTTGGAGATGAGGAAGAGAAACAAAGCCCATTCTTCTCGCACACCACTCCAGATGTTACCACTCACAGGCCTCATGGCTTGCAGGGCGGGAACGCCACGATAGACCAGGGGGCGGGAAGCCACACGGATTCGTAACCCTCCTTGGCTGGCCTTGGTTAACTTCACGAAGCATGGGAGTCATGACGCCACCGGGACCCCAGCCGACCAAAGTGAAGTGATCAGGGTTATGAGTTAAAGAGCAAGCCACAGCGGGAACCCGGCTTGCACGGGGGCTTGGGCCCAGAACGGCCTGTTGCACCGTGGAGGAGGGTCAGCAAGGAATGACATTGGTACGACTAAGCTTCCTGGGGTCTTGGGGTCCTGGGCAGCTGCTAACCCTGTCACACGAAACACTCGAGACACCAAAAGGGAAGAGGGCAGCCGCCAAATGGTAACTCGTCTTTCACTCACACAGTCTGCCCGGTCTCAATAATCAGCATCACGACGGCAAGTAACATGTCAGTGTTCGGCGTAACATGACCAATCAGCTTTGTTGTTACAAGTCAACAGATAACAAACATAGACTCAACTGAGGATGGGTGATACAAGTCTCAAGGTTGCACAAAGACCTGGGGCCCTTTTGTCCATTGTCTCTAAGAACTCGCCGAAGGATTCACAGACGCAAGCCACACGCGTCTATCATTGATCGTCATCGACGGTATCGGCTATCAACCTTGGCCTATCGGTCCACGCTAAACGTCTCAGGTTAAATACAGGCCACAGAAACTATCCGATAAAGTACGTCAAATACATTCAATTATTCCTATTGGAGCGGACATAAGCTCCGGTGAACGTGGGGAGATCCGCCTGCCCGTCGATCTTGAAAATCCAGGCCATGTCTTGTCTGGTTTCTTGTTTATAGAGTGCCTAGGAGGAGCCACCGGTTGCGTGGACGACGGACGACCGATAAAGGCAATGAGGCAAAGTGAAACGGATTGCGCGGTGATGCGCCTGATAATCTAGAGTACCTATCGTAGGCCCAGTGACGCCAACTGTCAATCTGTGGCCCAACTAGAACTAACCCGTAGTTTTATTTTGTGGCTTGAGCAAAAGACGGCATTCGCGAGACACAACAGGACGGGCTAAGGCGCAATAATTGTTCCGCATTGGGCAAAGATCAACATGGCCGAATGTTATCGGAGATAAGTCACTCTCCTTGGTAACAAATCTTGCTTCTGGCCACGAAAGGTCAGATTTGGCCCGTCGTTCATGTTCGACGCAGACTGAAAAACACTTGACCGTGAATGGGCTGCCATGCGTGGTTGGCTCCATGGCAAACTTTTCAACAGATTCCATCCAGCATTGTCCCTGTTATCGCGGTGCCAATAATGCCGTTGCTATCATTGTTCTTCACATATGATATGTGATGACTGATGTCGTAACGGCAAAAAGAAACTAACCCCAAGAGTCTGAAGCACGCCGTCATCACAGCATCGGCCCGGTGCATTTCCTCTTCAGCTCTAACTTTCTCCTTCCTGGGTGAGAAGCGTTTCCGAGCACATGTGTTTAAGAGGCTTGAACTTGATGTCAGTGCCAGATATCGCCATAGATGGTACAGCTCGTAATTATGGAGAACAAATATTGCACACACTCGAAATAAACAAAGCTATAATGAATGAAGCAACGAGGTAGAAACAAAAAGAAAATATCACAAAAAAGAAGGGCCAAAAATGAAATCCTCGAATCTGCCGCCGGGAATTGAGCCCGACGTGGGGGTCGAACCCACAACCTTGAGATATCCGTTCTACCTTGAACTTTACAAGTCTTTGGGAAGTTAAGAGTCTCACGCTCTACCGATTGAGCTAGCCGGGCGGATTCTCTGAGGATCTTTTCTTGATGACTGTCTGTCCTCTGATTCGGGTTTTATGGAAACTTTTCTCATCTGCAAACCTTGTTTCAGCGCTTGTGGGTACTCATGTCAATAACAAGGTTCAGGGCTTTATAACAGATCTACTCCTAAACTTGCATGATTCCCACAAAGGAGACTTTAAGAGATTTAGGAAGCGAAACAGTCAGTCCAAAGTCACCGAGTCAAGCCGCACCGGCGTAATCCGTCGGTTGAGTGACATGGGTTGTCCTGCTGTGGGTTGCTCGCTGATCGTGAGTTCGTGACTCGTGCTGTCACGGTGGAGACAGGGGCAAGGATTTTAGGTTTAGCAATGATGCTCACCTGAACTCAGCTGGCCCTGAGTTAGGTTCAAGGCCCCAGGTCCAAGACCGCGGAACGGAAAGTGGAGGGCAGGCATGAGCCGAACCCTAACCCTGATATCAGCCCCTGAGGGTCCACCACATGCAAAGTCAACAACGAAGCAAAAAGAAAAAAAACATACAACACCAGGGATTCCCCAGTGGTCACCCACCTGAGTACTAGTCTGGCCCTTACTAGCTTATCTATGGGAGAGCGGACGGGATCCCGAGTTCTCTAGTAGGTATGGTCGTATGTATGAGTTTGGATCATTCCCCGAGTTGATATAGTCATAGGAAGCCTTTGTGCATCTTGCCCTGATAGCTAGCGCTCCTATCGTCTGCTGGTTTTCGAGCACCTATTAATGTCTTCTACAACAAAACAGCGCATCAAAAGCCCTTACCAACGCTCGAAACTTTCCACCGGACGAACCTCCATGTGCTATCCAGACATCAGCATTTGTCATCAATGATGAAGAAAGTTGAACTCACGATTATACTCTGCATAGTTGTCCTCATCAACCTGCGCGCGAATGTTATTCTTGCGGTCGATAATAACCGTGGCGTTTCCCTTGACTTGGATCTTGTGGTTCCTCCCGTCGGTGATGATGCCGGCAAAGTTGTTGCTGTTGGGCTGGCCGGCCGCCACGCCGACCATCCCGTTGGTGGACTGGAACTGTCCGGTTCCATAGGTTGATACTTGGGCCGGTTGGAAGCCCAGCTGGGGTGGTGTCTCTGTCGTTTCATGTTGGTGTCAGTCATCTAGAAGAGTGATAGATGGAAGGGCAGTATGCTGACTTGTTATCCTCCTCCGGCCGGTATACGAAGAGGTATCGGTTTGGAGCTGTAACTCCGGTGACCATGGTTGGAGTTGCATTGTGTTGGTTGAAGTAAATCTGTGCTGATGGACGTCTGAATTTCAATCCGGAGACTAATTCAGCAGAAAGTATTATTCTTTTACGAGTCATCTGAAGGTTCGTTAAACCAGTACCTGTTTTAAAACGTATTGAGGCAGCCAAACTCGATGTCTTCTTTTGAAAATGCTGAAACCAAGAGCCTCATCCCAGGCAGACAAGTGCAACGGTCGGATAGAAATGTCTCGGGAATCAGGATTCCGTCGTGGGAGCCTAGCGGGATCAAAATTAACATTTACAAATGTGTTATTTTCATCTGCCCAGCAGACAGCCTGCTGCAAGCCAAGAAATAAGACTTCAGCTGCCACCTTGGCCTAGACTCCATTTTGTTGCGTCTCGACAGAACTTCTACCCATCAACGAGTTACTTGACGCTTGTGTCGGTCTCGAAAGTGGAAGTCGGTGTCTTTCCTCGTCTCAGAAGCAGCAGCTACATCTTGGAACTTTGAATTTGGAAGCCAATGAGCCTCATTCCGCCTCCATAGCCCCAACGAAAGTGCTGTTTCTTCCGAAACCGCACGCCGAAAACTCGCATTGTGGCGTCAATCCGCCCTCTAGAATGCCTTGCGGCGCGTGGTTTAGTGATGTATGCACTTGGCCGCCACCATCCTGGGCGGAGGTCGAACAGCCCCATGAAAAACAGCACGGTTGTTTCCATTCTTATCATTTTGTTCATCATGGATCGAGCCTCATGCATGTATGAGCAGCGAAGATGTACGGGTTACGAAACTCGAAACATGATTATATGGTTGTTCTTCCAGCCATTAATATTACGCATGCAACTACTATAGCGCAGTCACCCAACATCTTCCACCCAGGGGTATAACATCTGGTTATTCTAGCATCTTTATCACGTGAATGGCCTCACTCTCAACTTTCCCAAAGCGGTCACTCCTTTTATCCCGCTATTAAGACATCCGAAGCAACCACAGATCAGCAGACCATGACGACCATAGCCCCCCGAGGCTTCAACCTCAAAGAATGGCTCGAATCCCCATACATATCGCCCAACGGCTCGACCTCCCACGGCACGATAACCCCCATCCCAGCCCAAATCCAATGCTACGCCCTCCCCTACGGCCTAATAGGCTTCATCTCACACCTCCTGACTTACCTAACAATGTACCTCCTCTCCCGCGGCCGGGACCCGCTCCTACCGTGGCGATTCCTCCGATACAAGGTCTACAACCTGATCCTCTCCTCCCTAGGCCTGATAATCACAATCGTCCTCACAATCCTGACCATGGTCCGCTGCCGAAACGGCTGGCAACTTTTGCTCGTAGCAACCTGGAAGTTGACATTCAGTCTGACTCTCTCAATCATGGCGCTCCACGCAGCGACGCTTATTGACTGGGGAAGAATCAAGCGCATCAACGGGGCTATAAGACGAACTCGAGAAGGAGTCACCATCAGCGACAGCAGAAAAAATGGAAGCAAAATCGGAATCATCACGATGCCCATGGGTGGAAACGAGTCTCGAGCGGGCTTGATCCACGAAAAGGACAAAGTCACGGGTCTGTTCTCCAAGATCATGGTCTGGTCGCCTCTTCTTGCTGTAGGTGGAGTAGTCGGCTTCATTGGGATTGCAAGCCTGGTCAAAGGGAGTATTGGTCATAACACGGAGCTCAAAATCATCACCTATGTATTTGCGGCTGCGGCGGGGGTCGTCACGGTTGCGACAATGATTTGTGCCATGGTAGTCTACCCGGACCAGAGATGTCTTGTGTCGAATATCTTTGGGAGTTTTTTGTTTGGGGGCATGTGTTGTCTGGTGGTGTTGACGGTCCTTTTTGCATTGTACTCGGACTGGGTGTTGGGAGCATTAGCGGATGATCTCACCGGGGTTCCGTCACAGGATGTGCTGGTGTTTTATCTGATTTACTTTCTGGCCAAGAGGCTGCCCATGTTTTCCATGTGAGACGAGGATTTTCTCTTGAATGTTGGAAATTGCCTTCGAAAATCTACAAACTACTAAAGAGTCCACAAAGTCCGAGTAAAAAACGGAGGTAAGCGCAACCCAGCATTCAATCAAGTGCTGCATGGCGTTAGTTCTAGATTGAAAGAATAGTAATTCAAACTTCTTACAACACTGGTACTTTGTCTAGACTGATATGTCAACTGGAGTAAGGTATTTACTGAAATGTTACTATGTGCCGGGCAACGTTCTTACCGTTTCCTTTTCATCCATTTCCATATTCCTCTCCGCCTCTTTGTTACAACCTCCCTTGATGGTAGGATCTCTTCTTTTAAAGCTTGAACCCTTCCAGTTGTGTCGGGTGTGTGACAACCTACCAACCGTGACCTCCCAGTGTCCAGTTGATCAGTCCGTATTACTCCTTGTGAACCAGTCTGAACATCATCTTCGGCCCTCGCCTCAAGGGTCACTGCGACTGCATTTCCCACTTTCTCCCTGGCCTTGTCATTCTCTTCTTTGGATTCGCTTTCCACCTCCTTAACTTTTTGCTGATCAAGTTTGTCGTTTTCTTCGTCAAATTCACTCTCGACTTCCCAAGCCCTTTGCTCCCTGGCTGTGTCTTTTTCTTCTTCAGATCCGCTCTCGACCTCCCAATACCTGTCGGGGACTCCCAGTCGGGCCTGGCTCCTCGGGTTCCACTGATCTTCCCCACTGGTCGTATTTTTGATACTGTTCTCCCAGGCAAACTTCAACTCGCTGTATTGATTGCTTGAAAACGCATTCCTGAGGGTGTTCCATTCTACAGCAGTTGGCATTGCCCCATGCGTCAACAACAGATGCAGGATACTGAACGCAGTGTCCGTCGAGCAACCTCCAAGACGTTCATCGCTATGGTGCTGCACGTCGTACATACATTGGTGCAAGAACTGGGACCAGATTGTGACTGGGATGGCCATATGATACTCATCTCTCGTGTCTGCAGGCTCATTGGGGCTCACCCCCAAGTTTAGAGCATGCCTAGCCAAGTCGAGGTTGAGTTCGTCGTAGGAGCCCATGGCAATCTTATGCCCGGGCACCGCACTCATGGGTTTCATTAGGGCAGCGATGAGGGCATCCTTCCTCCGGTCTTCATGATCCTCCAGAAACTCTTTTGCGTAGATTAAAAGTTCCAATCTGATCGCTAGGTTCAGGAAGTCAGGGCACGCCTGGGAGAACATCTCACTGACCTCTCTACTTTCAACGCTGAAATAGGGGGCCAAAGAGTCCAGGATACGGCGCTCCGTTCGCCCTTGTGCTTGTTCAATACCACGTGCATTCGCGCAGATGGTCGGTATAAGGCAATCTCTCCGAAAGCCCCCTCCCCCCTCCCCCCCCCCCCCCAGGAGGCTCGAGGTAGATGCGGTGCTGTTCTCTAGATGAGGTTGGTGTTCTTAACTTGCGCTAGATAGGAGCGACAGATGGACCCTCGCGGATCAAAGTCGTCTCCTGAGCGTGATATGAGCATGCGATGGACCTCGGATGCTGTCAGGAAGTCGGCCACAGTTCGATGGAGGAAGGATACGCTCATCGACCACGGGGGATGAACTGTTTGGCCGTTCAAGCTGGTTATCACAGAGATATGCACGAGATCTCTGCATTGGGCAACTAGCTGGTGTTGCTTCTCGCCCTCTAATCTGGTGTAAAACCTATTCTCTTGACCGGGTGCCGGCGATTCAAGAGAACTGAAAGCATATTCCGGGTCTTTCATCTCAAGATCCATAAAGTAGAAGGTAATTACATGTAATGGCTTGTCCATCTCTG